ACTTCAGCAGCAATGCCCACTCCCACCTCTTCATCAACAGTCCACATTCTGGCTGGGTCATCTCAAAAGAAAAACTTCCAAGGATGGAGAGAAGATAGGCAGTGGGTAGCTGAGCCCAAGGTGAAATAAAATAATGTTTTCTTTTATTGATTTACCACTGTTTGTCTTTTAATTTCTGGAGAGCCTCTATTGCATGCAAAATGTTAATAGGAGTTGAAGGTCTCTTATTCATACAGTTCCAATCTATTCTGCAAATAAAAAGCAGTGAAAATGATTCATACATGAATAATACCCCCAAACCTTTGCTTATTGAAATGGATCAGAGATAATTGCCAGGTTGGAGAATTTGCATCCACACAATTTTCTAGTCTCATAAACATAATTTTCTTTAGAATGGATAGAAAATATTTGCTCTTTTAAAAGCTGTTGTGAGTGGTGGAACTGTCTTCCTTCTGCATCTGGAGAAATGTGGCTGTACCATCCACTGCTCTGAATCTCCCCCTGAATCTCCAGGATTGTGGTCCTTGGCTCTTGGGTTTAAACTTCAACCTGCATTCAACTTTGAGTGGAGATCTGAGTGTTCTGTTAGTCATTACCTCCACTAAGAAGAAGTCAGTGTAATCTTAATGCTTTGGCTGCTTTTAATTTCTTCCTGAAAGATTACTTCACATTCACATGCAAGTTGGGAGGATAAGGGGAATCTGTCATATCTCAGTGAATTTTTCAATCCATTAAAGTTTAGTATTTGGCTGAAAGTCATGGGAAATTTTAATCAGAGATGCTGTAAGAAGGAGGTGGTGATGAATGGTTTTGCCTGTGATACCTCAGAACCATCTGGAATACACATGAGATTCATTTTCTGCCATTGTCTCTCTAAAGCATCAGGCTGTTGTTTCAGGTGTGTGAAGTGCCTGCATGGCCTAGGTTTAAGGCTTGCTTTTCATTATGCCCAACAGCTTGGTCCTTTATTCTCTGAGGGTTATGTTTTCAATACCACAGGAGCTTTCTTTATGCCCATCCAAATGAATCCTTACAAACAGCTCAACTGGTGTAAGGCCTCAGGTGGGCTTAAGGGACCCGTAAGAACATGGTTTATGATTTATGAGCAGCAGGAGTATTGAAATGTGGCATTATGTTAATGGCATTTCATATTTCTCTGTTCTGGTTTTCCAGGAAAATCAAGCACTACTCCTCCTGTGGTTGAAACAAGTGATTCCCAGGTTCTTATAAACTGTGTTGGAAAAAGAAGAGGTGAGGCGTGTGGCATGTACTGAATAAAGAAAATGCAGTTTTTTACAAAATAGAGGAAATGAAGAAAAAAGTTGAAAAATTTAAGGAGTAGACAAAGGAAAAAATTTACGATGTATATGGGTGAATTTCCAGAAATGTATGAAAGTTTTGTGTTGCTCAAGAGTTAACACTTTATCTAAAATGCCAAAAACAAGCAACAAAAATGTGTGAACAGGGGTACATAGAAAAATACAGGCGAATTTTAGGAGTATAATTTGAAGGGAAGAAGTCTTTATAGATTACATCCTGCTTGATACCTTTGGGTAATCCATTTTTATTATAAAACACAAAATACAAAATGTATTGTCCTCATTTTAGAGAGAAGCAACATTGCTGTAGACAAGGTGAGTAACTTGTCCAAGGTGGCAGAGTCAGTCTCTTTGCTGCAGTTTGT